AAAGGGGGGGGGGGGGGGTAGAGAGTCCCTGGAAATGTGATGACCACCAGCTAACCCTGCAAGCAAATCCAATCAGCGTGCCACGTTCCGGCGGCGGCGGCGGCGGCGCCCGCGCTCAACCACAACACCGCGACGCACAAAAGGCATGCGATTGTTCGCTTACCGTGTTGCCGTTGCTGTTGCTGGGGTGGTGTTGGTTGTTGTTGTTGTTGTTGTTGTGGTTGACGTTGTTGTTGTCGTCGTCTACGTCATCAGCGGCAGGCTGCACAGCCGCGGCGGCGGGCCCGAAGGCTTTGCAGAAGCGGAAGGGTCTGGGCAGGTCCGTGTCGACCGCCTGTGACTTTGTTGGGCTGAAGACACGGGAGGGGGTACGGGACGGGACGGGGAGGGGTTAACTTTTGCAAGACGTCATCATAGACGGAACGGAGAAAAGGTAGCAAGGGACGTGACTGCAACCAACAGCACGCATGGACGAGACTTGCAGCATGTGTTCTCATCATGGACGGGGAGTAGAGGTGGAAGAAGGCCAACGGGTAAGCAGATAGGGGGAAGTGGTCAGCGAGGGAATTCTAATCCCCCAACAGGAAGCTGCTTGTAAGGCATAAAGAAGGAAGACGCCTGCATGCGGCACCGAAACCAAGCTGAACGCAAGGTGAAAAACGGCTTCACGAAATCAGTGCCCAGGAGATGCCCAGCAGATTTCCTCCCCCCAACCCACTCAATACAATTACAACACATCCCCTTCGACTGCCGTTGTTATCAAGAAAACACTTCTCCTCGGCGTCTTGTTACCTGGGGTTGTCTTTGCTCCGGGAGCTGCTAAGAGCGGGCGGGACGGGCAGCAGCATGCTGAGGTCCTCCCCGTTGAATTGGACCATCAGGGCGTCGAACAGCAGCTCGCCGAACAGACGAGCACCGCTGTGCGTTCCATTCGTACCCACCCACAGAAAGAAACAACACACACGGAACACACAAAAGGAGGGAGGTCGTGCGTACGGTGGATGGATACAGTACACGCATCAGACGGAGGCAGAGAGGACTGCGTCAAAAGTAAAGTGAAGACACCACCCTCCGGTCAATTCCTACCTAAATGGGTCGGAAAAAATAAAAGATAAGGAGGCTCGCCGCACAACCCTGCCTGTCGCAGACGGGAACACACCGGTGCCATCGAGGGAAAAAAAAAAGCACGCAAGTCGCTTCGAAATCACGGCAACCCAGAGTCACGTTGGATTTGCGGCATCGAAGATACACATGAACACATTCAAATGCGCGCTTGATCAAGCGTTTGACGTCGTCTCTTTTCTCGGCAACAATCCTAACCCTATTGCGGTACTCACGTCTTGCTGTCGATCATGCCGTCACGGTCGGTGCCCGGTCTCCCCGGGCCCAGCGGGTGCCGGAGCGCGTTGGCGTGGACGAACCCGATCGCCTTGCCCACCGTGTAAAGCGATAGCTGCATGATGGCACAGCAGTACAAAAGAAGAGAAAAAAACAATGCAACGTGGAGTGAGCCAAAAAACAGGACAAGCGTGACGTTGCGCGAACGTCGCCCGCGAACAAAAACAACTCATTCAAACATTTTCACTTCAAAACGCACGCAGCAGCGCTGCATATAGGCGTGAATAAAAAAAAATTAAGAGGTCGGAGCGTCACCTACGCGAAGCAGTCATCATGCCGAGTCAAACCGGGAAAAAGCGATTCTCCGCGAATCACGCCAACCGTCGCTGATTCCGCCGCGCCTCTGATTCCCCCCCCCCCGCGCGCCGAGCGGACTGACTCACGTGCTCGTCGCCTTTCTTGGTCTTGGTGAAAGCCTAGGGCTAGCGCCTGCCCTTCCGTGTCCTTCGTTTGCAGTCCCTGAAACGCGGGTCAGATGCCGGAGCGCAGGAAAACAGCACAGGTCACCGTCAAGTGGCAGTAGCCGTGACGGGCGAACAATACAGTACCACCAATCTACTTACGTAAAAAAAAAACTGGGGAGCTCACGGCCCGTGGGCGGGGGGGGGGGGGGTCAGATCGAAGGCCATATCACCTCACACGCTGCACCAAGCACCGTGGTACCCGTGCGTACGTATGAGTCAGCAGTGCGCATACACCGTCGTCGATGATCCGTGGGCGGTGAAGTTTCTCGGGAATAAAGCCACAGCGTTCTCTATTTTCTCTTTTGGGTGTGCCTGTCTCTCTGTCTGTCTGTCTCTCTCTCTCCGTCTCAATCTCTGTATGTATCTGAATCTTCCTCTATCCGAACGGCGCTCATGATGGACCTACTAGGTCGAAGGTGACAGTCCCCCCCTTCCCTCCTGCCTGCCGATTCTGCACACCGCCTGAAGCCCCTCCGGACCAAAGAATCGTCACTCTCGTCCGGCAACCCACGATGCACACAACCGCGAGAACTGGAGCAACGGCTACGCAGGACGGACAAATGCTCTATTTACTTGCGCCGCCGCACTGCTTTCGCGTGACTATTTGTGCTCCTGTCGGCTGCGCTACTACTGCTGTGTCGCTCACCATGGCGTGATCGGTCATCATGAAGATGACGTACTGGGACCAAATGCTGGCGCGGGCCCGCTCGAGGTACGGTTTCCACATGTACCGGTGGGCCATCTCCACCTTGCACACCTCACTCACCACGTTGGTAGCGCTGCGCCAAGGAGGAGGAGAAGGGAGGGAGACGGAACACAGAGGAGGCATACACTTAGGAAAGGGGACGCTTAGAGAGAGCGGCAACAGCTGAGACACGTGCGACGAAGGGCGACGCAACAAACACGGTAGAAAGCGACGCGACCAACTGCCCACGATAATCGCGCGAGTAAGAAAGACCCCGGTAAAAAACATCACTGTAATGCCACCACCACGACCAACAACAACAACCAAAAGCAACGACGGCACACAGACAACACAGCGCGAGCAACGAAAAGGATCCTGACATCATCAACAACAAAAATAACAACGACAACAACAAGACGAGTCCTACATCGAAGGCGCCGAAAAGCACAGCCCGTGCGCACTAATAAAACTACACACCACGAAAAAATCACTCACGTGTAGGCCACGAAGACGCCGAGTATCTTGGCGATCACTCCGTTGTCCTCGGGCGCCAAGTCGGCGCCCTCAAACCAAGTCCACAGGAGAAATCTGTTTCATCGCGTCAACATCACGGCGTACAACAGCAAGACAGTCAAAGGCTGCGCAACGTTGCTTGTGAATGAGTCGAACTATGCATCGCGCGCCGAATAGAATACTTTTGCTCAAGGTACAGCACGACGTGGGTGGGTGGGGAAGAAACATTTTTCCGAAAAGCTAAAAACGCCTTCGCCGAACACACTGGCTTGGGTTCAGAGACATGTAGTAGGGGGAGCATGCGCCTTGCGTCATGGTGGCAACGGCGTTGACAACACACAGGCGATTTTTGCAGCCTGTCCAAAACACGCTTGATATGGTCAGGTTTGGAGGAGGACAAAACGCGCAACCAGGCTAAGCACCGAGACGGCGAAGACGTCGAGGCAAGCCCCCCCCCCACTTCCCTACATAGGACGGACGTGTGTCCTAAATGTGCGGGAGCACACGTTACACGCGGAATCGTAACGCAATGTACAATCACCACAACATGGGGGACCCAAACAATGACGACGGCCTCGCACAAAGCCAACAAAAAAAAAACTATACAAAAGGATTCTGGTCGTGGCAGGTGCAACAGGCGGCGGCATATGTACGCACAACGGCGAGAGCGCTACATATGCTCGAGTGGCCAGCTGTGCTGTGCGTTCTGTTGCTAGTGACGACGCCACAGACAGCCGCCAGCAGCGGTTTCCCGTCAAGAACGATAGGGTGACGGGACAGAGCGCAACTACGCAGCAGCACGTTGATACCAGGCCGACGACACCGTAAGTGGTGGGGTGGGCAAACAAACACGCCTCGTACATGATGGTGCTCCAGATTAGCACCGACACCTCCTTGTGCAGCTTGATGAAGATCCAGACCTTGTTGTTCGTGTGCAGGAGCCGGGTCCACTTGAAGAAGCCCGCAACCGCCTGGCGCGCGAAAGGAGGAACGCAAGGGAAAAAAAAACGCCACCGCAACAGCGAAGACGTTCGACATCCCTTCCAACGTGGTACACACGCCCGATGAAGAGCTGCATGCACAACTACGATAGTAGTTGACGATGTAGTGAAAAAAGTTATACCGAAACATTTTCAACCTATGGCGAGATGTATACCGTAACATGCTCAACCGATGGCGAGAACATGGAGAAAAATTCGTGCAGCGGGCGTGATAAGTACGAAGTAATGTACGCGCCCACGGACGCGGATGCGTACATAGACAAATAGAAGAGAGATACTCAAACGAAGGAAGACGCACGCAAACACTGCAGCGGCACGACCAAGAGCAAGCAAGCGATCGCTGACCTAAGCATGACGATGGCGTGAGCGATGGCAACACGGGGCAAACGTCAACAAGAGCAACACAACCCTCGGCTAGGACACCAGGAGCACCAGCAGCATAGAATTAACAAGAACCACCAGGGCAGACGAAAATACACACACGAATACAAAGCCAACACAACCGTAAAAGCACAGGTATGTTGTGGGATTACACGCGTAGCGATCCCTGAAGACCCTGATGAAGACTCACTTGTTTATTAATCTCTTGGAACAGCAGTGCTTGCCGTTGCCTTGCTCTCAAAGGTAGACTTGAGCACAGAGGGGGAGGACATGCTCCCTCTAAAAGGGGCCACAAAGATCCTGTCCCCTGTTCTATCCTTCCATCGGGAGTTACGTCTCCCGCACTTTCCTCTGGGAATTACTCCGCAATACCGTTGGCACTGGCTACATTCAAATCCCATAACAGGTAGGTGACAACCAACCACCTCCGACCACGGACGGCGAACGAACGTACCTTCGCCAGGAGCTCGATTACGAAGTACGCGCCGACGGACACGCACAGGCCGTTCAGCCACTCCCTCAGCGAGAAGTGGCCCAGCTCCACGCGCTCGTCCAGCCACCCGGAATAGGTGGTGAGAAGTATCACTCCGACCACGACGATGGTCACCAGCAGCTTGGCGGAGGTGTTGGACCAGTCGAGGGCGGGCAGCTCTCCGAGGTCGTGCACCTTCTTTTTCTGCGTGGTTGTTGAAGAATTACGTTGTAGAATTGTTGTTGTTTTTTGCTAATAGCGTGGGTGTTGGGGGAAAGGGCACGAATTCTGCTGTGTAAGGTGAAAGTAGAGCACGGACTTCGTGTAACAATTGAATAATTCGTAGACGGGGACGGCTTCAGCGCGAGGACGATAACAAGCGCTAATTTTACAGAAAAAATAAACGGGTGTGCGAGAAAAAACACTATTCTACTCCTATGTCACGCGCAGGAGCAGCCACCAAATATGATAGTCTGGTATTTCGAGCAGTCGAGGTCACCTGCACCTTCTTCGTTCCGATAGAGCTGGTTTCGTTTACAGTCGAGCGGTGAGGCTGCTGCGTTTGTTCATGACTAAATCTCTTCCGGAGAGTTTCTCCTCCTCTCGACGTCGGCAAATGCAAAGACTGAAGAAAATATGGGTGCACGGTGCTCAACACCGGACAATCTTGCTGGTCGTTGGCCGAAGCCCAGCCGAATGTCGGCTTGCTGGATGGGGCGGCAGGGACCGCATGGATTGCGCACTCACTCCTTACAGAGCCCGCAACGGCATTTCTCACTCATGCGTGACGTCTGCCCTGCTCTGGGCACAGCCTAAGCAAGCATCTCACTCCTCACCCCACAGCAAGCAGCAACAGGAATAGTTATTTATCTGCCACAACCGCGAGACAAAACAGCGCGGCCCTCTGGCTGGTCAACACACGCAAGACGTAGGGATCACACTATATCCCATGCAACAGGGCGGACAAACACACCCACCCAGATCATGGCCTTGACAACATTTGTCGTGTTTCCAACCGCACGGAAAGACCGACGTCTTTTCATTGGTCAGCCGGTTAGCGCGGTCGATGCCGATAATCAAAAACACACACAAAGACACACACGCACCTGAGCGGACAGCTCCTCCTGGTCGGCCTCGTCGTCGTCCTCCTCCAGCTCCTCCTCCAACGCCATGTCCCCGGACACAAAGGAAGCCCCGCGGACGGACCCCCCCCTCCCCCCCCCCCCCGCCGCCGCCGCCCCGCTGCTAGACCTCGGCCTGCCAACGCCGCCGCCGGTCGCCTTCTTGGTCGAAATCGCCAGGGGGTCGTCGGTGCCGAAAGCCATGTTCTCGACCGCGGCCCCCGGGTTTCCCAGCCCCGCGCGGCGGAGGCACGAAGCCAGCGCTCCAAGGAGGAGGCCTCCGCACCCCTGGACGCCGTCGCTGCCCATGCGCTTGAGCTGG